GTTGAGTATTAGGCTCCAACAACATCTAGAGAACCCCAGATTGATCACCTTTGTATAATGCTTGTACTATAAAAGTTTTGAGTGTGTCTTATTGCAGAACTAAGTCTCCAAGTTTTTCCACTATAATCCCGCTGCTAAGTTGTGTGGTGGGCTGCAGGCAGCAGAGAATGAGGTGTAGGGTGATGTGCAGGGAATATATTAAGACCCCATCTCTCACGTCTATCAAGCTTTCCCCCCTCTGTCATTAGATTAGTGATACAATTTACGAATATTACGACGGCTCATGAGAAGAACAAACTCATAAGCTTGTAAGGGTGACATTATTTCACCTCTTGGTTCTTAAAAGCAGTAATACAGCACACTTCTTTAAAAGTTCTGTCAAAGTGTTAACCTATAAATAGCTCAATTTTTGTCCTTTCTATTCAACTGGTTGAGCATAGAATATTTTCTATGTATTGGTTTGTTCTGCATTGTAATCTGTAGCATTATAAATCAATTTTGAAGCAAAATATAGTCTGCTCAGATAAGAAAGGGAGTTAATATTGTTACATCAGTGTATATTCAGGCCAGATTATATTGGCTGAATGACTCACATTTTCCCGATCAACACACAGAGGAAAATATGTGAAACTTTATCGTTTGTTTCTTTTTTGGCTTATTTTTAATAAATGATTCAGTTAATTCTATAGTGATAACCTGAACATCACAGTCCCTGAAAAGCCCCATTCTGCATCTGATATTACCATATTAGCAGTTGCTAATCATACTGAGAGAGGCAAGGTGGTCTTTTTAAACTTCTTGATTCTATAGCAATATGTCTAGATGGTTTTTATTTGTTTTGTAATGGAAGGGTAAAGCCTGAGGTCCCGTATAATAACGCTTTCATCTCTACTGTGACTCTTTCCATAATGAATGGAAATGTATCATTCAGTGGGGATTAGAGCACAAGATGCCAGGTTTTGGATCTGCCCACAACAAAATGCAATATGCCTAGGCCAGGGGTAGGCAACCTTGGCTCTTTTATGACTCATGGACCAACTGGTTCAGGAATTCTGGGAGTTGAAGTCCACGAGTCATAAAAGATCCAAAGTTGCCTACCCCTGGCCTAGGAGTTTCAGTGGACCTGATTGTGCTACAATTCTATAGCATGAATGAGGATATACAGTAGCTTCCAATGCACTGTTGGTTAAAGCTTTTGCTTAGGTTGGCTATTGTCCTTTCTGGCTCAAAGGGTGGAGGTTTTCATGTACCAGGGATTAAGATAGTTTGGGAAACTTCTCTCATAGGATATAGAAATTTGAATTATGGAACAAAATCAGTTAGGTTTGGCTATTAGGAGAGTGTGTGATGTGCCATGGATGGGACTAGAGCAGTTTGGAGAACTTTCCAGATGGTAAAGGTGTTCTTGATTATTTTATGATGCGAATGCAATTCTAGAAACTTTATATAGTCCCAAACAAAAAATATATAGATTTTCAGTTCATTTTTCTAGCTTTTGTCCTTGAAATAGAAGTAGCTATAGAACTAATTTTGAGGAGGAAAAGGGAGGTAAATAATATGAATAGGAGAATGGTAAGTTTTACGAACATTTCCCTAGAGGTAAAAACTGAAGTGTGCTTACTAGTGTCATGAATCACATCTAACTATAACGTTCTTCAGATTAAGAGACTTTGACTGCTGTTTTTTTTAAATATGCATCATAGATTAATAAAGTGAATACCTTGAATATCTTCAGAAAAGAATCTGAATATGGTGACCTTGTTTCTAAATCTGCAGAGTCTCTGCTGATCATTGGATAAATACCAGCAATTCATCCAACAAAAGCAGAAGTCCTAGTTGTGTTGGCAACTGTTGTCTGCCTCACTACCTCTATGTCTGCCTTGCTAACCTGTATTCTGGGTCAATTTTGCAATGCTTCACCATGAGGACTTCCTCAAAACTGAGGCACTTGGGTCAGGAAGAGATGGAAGGAAAGATTGCTGCTTCAGTTGTTTTCTGGGCCAGGTGGGGAAGGAGCGGACAGATCCTTATCCTTTAAATCAGTGGTTCTCAACCTTTCTAATGCCGTGACCCCATAATACAGTTCCCCATGTTGTGGTGACCCCCAACCACTTATACATCACCGGGTGCCAGGGGCATGGCCAAAGGGGGAAAAAATGGCGGACAGCCTTGTTTGGCGACCCCCGTGAAATGGTCATTCGACCCCAAATGGGGTCCCAACCCACAGGTTGAGAACCACTGCTTTAAATGGAAGGGCCTTTTGGCCTACCCAATAAAGAATTTGCTTGATGAGGTTCCAAACACACCGTGTTAGTTTCTCTCTCTGTAGAATAATAATAATAAAATATCAGGGCCGTTGTTCTTGATTAGCAGATGGAGCAGTGAGGCCTTTGAACTGACAGTAGACAATGGGAGTTTATTTATTGTTTCTGTCATAGCAGACAATTAACTCACATTGGTTCTAATTGATATGTATACTAAATGTAATTGGCACTGGTGAATAACAAATGGATTTTCTGTTACAGAGGTTCATGCAGTTTTCTTACTAGAGAATGTCAATGCACATTTATGGAAAACATCTGTTTCTCCACTCCTTAGACCTGGAAGATAGATTTGTCAGATATCAAGAATGCTCATTTGCAAATGCAAAATCTATTATCAGGCTTTAGATATAGATGTAGAAGATTTGTCCACTTTTTTTTTAAAGCCTGTATATATCATCATTACTAAAGAATAAATGGCAAAAGAACTAGTGCTGTCTTTTTTAAGTGGTGGCTTGTTATAATTCTTTAGATACAATTGATAAGCAACTAAATAAACAGTAACTTATTTTCAAATTATTTTGAAATTATCTTATTTTCAAATTATCTGGGGATAAGTGGCAAATTCCATCAGGGCAAAATGGCCCATGAGAATTTTTCTAACAAATGCAATAAACAAAATCCTGGTAAATTTACTGATTAACTTATGACATGTGAAATGAAATCATTCCTTAGCATTACATTTTCTAAATAAATAAATACTTTATGATCTGAAATTTATTTATTTGATTGATTGAAATCCTATCTTTTGGGGGTATACCTCAAGGTGGTATACATAAGGCTTTCTCACAACCCTGTGAGATGGGTTGGGCTAAGACAGTGGCTGACCCAAAGTATTCCAGCCAACTTTAATGCTTAAGAGAGATCTAAAATCCATATCTCCCTATTCTTTTCTAGCATCTTAATCACTACACAAAATGTTCTCTTATTACATTTTTTCTCCTATTATGAACACATTGTAATTATTTAGTATCTGAGGAATTAGCGATCTACCTAAGTGTTTTCCTGGCCTTTGTGGCTCCATGTATTTCAGGGCTGATTCAGGCATTACAAACAAAGGAGTTATGGAGCCATATTAAAATTATAATTAAGTCATTTTAGTTATGCCAAGCTGAACTTTTACTCTAAAGTCTAAGAAAAGTTTTTAGATGTGCAAAATTAATGAGCTAACCTGTCTTCTGTCATTTAGTTCCTTAGTGACTGTAAGCAAGTTATTTTCTGCCTTTGTCTAATCAGGGCTGCGAAATGGGACTATACTTCTAACCAAGAAATAATGCGGCACTATATAGTAGAAATTTCAATTCCAAACAAAATATTTTCAAAAAGAATAGCAAAATAAATGATGCACCAGTGAGGGAAATACCAAGAGAATCTTGTGAATTTCTACAGATTAAAAAAATAGGGTAGCATAAGCTTCTATGGACTGCAGTCTGTTTCACCAGATGCAACATTTATGTAAGAATAATCTTAGCATGAAATAATTAATCATCCTAATTTTACATTTCTATATCATACTTATATCATCAATAACATTGATAACTTTGCTTAATTGACAGGAATTACTTGGAAATAGATGAAAAATGGCTTGTTTGTGTTTGCCATTAAATTATATTGTAACTCATTTGTCCACTTCTTAAAGGGAGAATTTTAGATTGCTGTAAGACAGTTGCTTATTAAAGCTGGAGTTATTTTGTTACATATAAATCAATTTCCCATAGTACATACCCAGTTTACAAAAGTTTATGAATGCAACTTTGTGGGTATTGTGTATTGTGTTTCAGCAAATATGAAATGTATGCTGAAGAGATACCATATTATACATACTTGTAACTTGCTTTGTGGAAAAGTGGGGGGAGGGGAGATGGTTCTATGGCGCGCAAGCCCACACGTGTATCCACGTGCACCCAGCTCCATTTGCGTCAGTGGTAAGTACGCACGCACCACTCGCGCAAATGGAACATGCATGCACATGCTTGCTCACTGCTCGCAGAAGTAGAGATGCACACATGAACGAATGTGCTTGCCCACCACTTCCATGGCCCATTTCCCAACAGCTCAAGGCCTTGTAGTGGGTCGCAACCTGGGAGTTGGGAACTCCTGCCTTTAACAATGTCTTTCCTTAACACTGATATTTTTAAGTTGCCAATCTTCTGGATGACTTTTACGATTGATTTTTTTTGCTAGAAGCCTTGGACATATATTAAAAAAGGGGAAAGGATTGGTACTATTCTTGGAGTGTTAGTTTTAAAAATTTTCTTTCTCCTTACATTGAACTTGATGAAAACTACCCTGTGGCTGTTACAGGTTTTGTAAAAAGAGCTACAGTTGGGTAAATACTGATATGTAATTAAATTTCTGAGGAACCCAAAACTTTGCAGAACGCAGTCTAAAAAAAACCTGTAACAGGACAGGTTTTATTCTATTATTATTATTATTATTGATAATATTATTATTATTATTAATAATATTATAATAATATTATAATATAATTATAATATTATAATATTAATATTATAATTGTATATATATTATAATATAATTATAATATTGTAATATTAATATTATAATATTATAATAATAATAATATAATATTATAATTCACTGGTATTATTCTATTATTTTAAATGTAGCATTATAGCTTTTTTGCCTTCTAATGCCAGTTGTTGCTGATTTTCATAGGTGGATCCAGAGAAATGTCGCTATGCTGTAGGTAGTGTCCTGAGTGAAGGAGAAGACAAGCCATCTGAAGAAGCGATCCGCATGTTTCTGAAGTATGGCTTCAAGATTATCAACTTCCCAGCTCCTAGTCATGTAGTCCTGGCAACCTTCCCTTATACAACTCCCCTATCCATACATCTGGCAGTGAACCGTGTCCATTCAAGTCTTGACGTATATATCAAGGTGAGTGAAACTGTGAAGGAGATAGTTTATTTGGAGCCTGGAAGTTAAAATTCCATTTTTTAAAATTTTCTGCAGAGGATATAAATTATATAATATATTTCTAGTTGATTATATAAATTCAGATCTTCTGTTATTCAATAAGTGGCAAGCCATCAGTTGTGATTTCTGCTGTTGGGGACCACTAAATAAATATTCAGAAAATGTGAGAACTGTCCAATTGAATGAGCTCTTGATTGAATGTTTTTATATACATTCTATGCCACAATAAGAATCTTCTGGGCAAGAATGTTCTTCAGTAGAATTATCTGAACGCAAAGGGGTTGGGACAGGTAGATCTCTGGCAAAGGTACATTCCATTTTTTAAGATACTCATCATTGTATTCCCTATTTGCATTTCTCTTTTCAGGTTACTTGGACAAGTCCACAGCTCTGCTTAGCAGAGCACATGTGAATTCATAATTGTTAAATTGTCTTTCCAGAAGGGCACTTCAGACTGAAATTTAGCTTGTGGCTCTATCCAAGATGGTGAATAGTATTGACGTTTTTGTGTAGAGTTCTGTAGTAGTCTGGACATGTTTGCTGTGTTGCTAACATTTTTTGTTTTTATTTTTCTTTGTAATCCCAAGGTGAAAGATACTTTGTTATAATTTCTCCAGCTACTTGAGAAAGGTCAGGGGCGAAATCTTGCTAAAGCTGTTTGAAACTGAACATTTCTAGGACTCATAACATCTCTTTTCTAGAGATTTTCCTGTATATCTGCTGATACATTTGAATTAAGGGAGAGAATAAGGACGCTTTGTGAGTGAGGAGAGGTTCAGTGGGAACAAACGCTGTTCTGTTTGAAGGGAATATCTCTTTTTTTTTTAATCTCATAGACATGCTGAACATTTCCAGTCATATCACGTGGACAGCGTGACTGATTCTTATTTCCTGTCAAAGTAATTCCCCACTGAAAATTTTAACTGTGGAAAGCACATCACTAAATCTCAACTCTCACTGAAATGTTTGCCATTTTTAAAAAAGTACTACAGTGCGAGAATGCTGTGTTTCACCACAGCTGAGATGTGAGATCTCTAAACAATAGGATGGCTTTTGAAAAAGGGCCATTCAGTTAGGTTGTTTACTCTCTGTCAGATTGGGACTCATACTTGAATGGATACATTTTGGAAAAGGGACGGTCTGTTTGAAAGCAAAACATTGTTTAAAGGCAGAGGCAGCACAATTAATTTAAACTGTTGAATAAGCCATCCTCATCCTATGGGATTTTCTCTGCTCTCTTCTGCTACTTGGAATGCAGTTCATGAAGAAAAGAAACTTGGGAACAACACAGGCAGACCATGAATGTAGACATTCTTTTTAACCTAAAGCTATTTTTATTTCATTTTATTATCAAATTTGCATAGCTGTCCATCTCACCAAATAGCACTGTGGGCAGCGTACAACAATTGAATAACAAGACGTATAAAAATGTAAAATAATATAAGATGAAGATTAAAAAATAAAAAATTATAAAAAGAAATATATCAGCCTTAAGCAAAGGGAGGATAAGAATGAGCACCTAGCAACAGAACCATCTGAGCATATCTCTGGTCCCCTGAGAGCACCAGGCCTAATTACATAACCAGGTTTTGAGGGACTTCTGGAATATCAGAAGGGATGGATCTAATCTAATGTCAGGGGAAGAATGTTCCAGAAGACAAGCGCCATGACAGAGAAGGCATCTGTTATGTGTTCTGGGACCCAGCAGATTGTATCTGCAGCGTGCCTTCTCTGCCAGATCGAGTCGGGCAGGCTGATGTAATCGGGGAGAGGCAATCCCATGTGATAAAGGGCTTTAAAACTTAAATTTAGGACCTGAATCTGGAAGCAAACTGGCAACCAAGGCACCTTATGGATCAGAGAAGTAACATGCACTGTTCTAGAAGTGCACATAATTGCTCACACCGTTGCATTCTTTGCCTGCTGAAGCTTCTGGATACTCTCCCAGGCAGGGTTCTCCACTGTTTCCTCTTCTGTTCATTTTGGTTTTGGAAATCTTGAATGGCGACATACAAGATGAGAGGATTATAGGAGTAAAAATTTAAAAAGAGACAAGATTTAAGATCTGTTAAGTTACATCTATACTTGTAGCTTCTGTAAAGAAAATTGAAAGCTATTTTATATTTTTTTCTTTTTTCTGCATATTTGCTTTCTTCTTTCCTTTTTTAATACTAAATATTAGTTTTTGTTAGTTTTTCTTTTTTTAAAAAAATTAATAGTTATATTTTCTTAAAAAAGGTTCATAATTAATAACAATATTGTCACTCAGTCTCTCGTGCTCTAGTCACCTTCAGATTGGACTACTGCAATGTACTCTACATGGGGCTGCCTCGAAGAGTCTTATCCCCCCTTTGCTTAATGCTGATATGTTTGCTTTTACAATATATACATATTTGCTTTTACAGTTCTTTTATTTTTTAATCTTCATTTTATATTTTTTTTACGTTTCCTGGTTTTGAATGTGTTGTTATTAAATTGTTGTACATTGCCCATAGTCATATTTGGTGAGAGGCTGACTTATGACTGTTTTTCAAAGTTACGACCTTTGCATCCCTATGACCATGTGACCAAAATTGAGATGCTTGGCAACTGGTTCATATTTATGACCGTTCCTATGTGCCAAGGTCATTTGATCACCTTTTATGACCTTCTGACAAGCAAAGTCAATGGGGGAGCCAGATTGACTTAAAAATCAGGTTACTAACTTATCAGTTGCAATGATTCACTTAACAATTGTGGCAAGAAAGGTTGTAAAATGGGACAAAACTCACTTAAAAATGTCTCACTTAACAAAAAAATTGGGCTCAATTGTCATACGTTGAGGACTTCATGTACTTTTCCTGATTTAATCTTTTTTATAGCTTCAGAAAATTCCTAAATGTTATAGATCACGCGTATCAAACTCGATTGCGTCATGTGACATATTGTGACGTATCATGACTTTTTTGCCTTTGCGGAGCTGGGGTGGGCGTGGCCTGCGCATGATGCATCCGGCCTGCGGGCCGCCAATTTGGCACCCCTGTTATAGGTCCATTCATAATTAGCTTTCGTTTCTCTTATAGAAATTTTGTTGATAGATGTCCTGTAGATTTTGTTTTTCTGAATATTCAACTATTTTCTCCCAAAAAATATCATGTCCTTTATACAAATTAGAATAATAGTGATGAAATGATTTTTACAGCCACACCGCTTGTTAAAATAGTCAGTTTCAGTATCATTTTCTTTTTCTTTTTATAATTTATATACAAGCCATTTCCCTGATTTGTTTGCAAATTGATTTTTTTGCTTTAATTAATTTATTTTTATTTCCACTTACCTTACTGTTAACATTGATAGCTATGGCTGTAAAAGTTGAATTTGATGATACTTATCGTCTCTTTGGGCACTGATTTCCACTTCAATGGCGTCTCTGCTTCTTCAGAGAGACTAGATCATTAATAGACCCCAATGGAAGCAACAAATAATAAACTGTTTTGAGGATGCATTCTCTCTGCTTTTGCAATAAAGATGTAGCTAATTTTATAGTAGCTAATTTTATAACTTCTTACATATATGCAAGAAGTAGATAAAGTGAATTCGTAGTCTAAATTATTTGTTTTGGAATCTGTAGCTGAATCTAAAGCAAAAACAATCCAGAAACACTCACCTTGTTTATGGAAAAGAAGCACTTCATTGCAAATACCATTCATCTTTTGCATGACACAGTTATTTATGAAGTGCCTGGGCAACTATCCCAGCCTTGTGAAAAGCTCTGGCTGTGTCTGACTTTGTGCTATTTTGAAGATTCATGCCAAGCTTAGCATATCATTCCATGATTTGCATTGGAATTTCCAAAATCCTTTTAAAAGCAGAAATTTGTCTTTAGTTGTGGATTCTATTCATTGAATAGTTTTGTTATTAAGTTCAGGAGTATGAAGCACAGGTTTAAATGGCAGCAGAAATATGCAGAATGTTGTGGAAACTTGCCATATTCCTTTTGTTAATTCTTGATTTTCTCCTGGGTTTGCTGTCCTGTTGTGCTAATAAGAGATTCTTGGTTCAAGTAACTATGGGAGTATTTACAGCATTTGCTTATCAGTTTCCTTTGTCCCTAAGTGTGGTCATTATACAAGCTTTGTGATACCTTGAGCTGGTATGGGAAAGGAGGGAAAGGAGAAAAGTTTCATCACTGTTGTTAAATGTAGGCTTGCTTTGTGGTGTAGAGTTGACATTTTGATGCTTCAGGAAAGGTCCTGGAGAGAGCATCTGTCACACAATCACTGAAAACATTAAAACTAAAAAGAGAGCTGTAGATTATGCTGAAAACACCTGGTAGCTTTTTAATGAGACTGTTTAATGGAATGGATTCAGAATCCTAGATGCTTACATTTTTCACACTGAATGAATAATGCCATAAATTGAAAATCTCAGCAAATGAAACAGAAATCGAAGACAGAAATTTCTACCTGCTTGTGTGTGTCGGTCTTTCTTGGGAAGCAGAAAGCAGGTGGGATAGTATTGTAAATTTCAGTCATCATACTGGAAGAACATAGAATTAGAAGCAGGTTGGAATCAGTTGCATAGTATCATAGGCACAATGGCAAATCACTCAGTGATAATGTATTATCTAAATTGCTTTTTAAAATCGTTTGATCTGCCCACTATTAATCTTGAAAAAGATTTGAAAACTTGATTCAGGGAATCTCTTCTCCTCTCCCTAGAAGTGATACATATTTTCTATCTAGGTCATTACACTGATCATTACACTAATTCAGATTTATTAGTCAGATCCAGTTAAGATTTTGACAGAAAATTGTCAGGGTTTTGGGCCCAAGTTTGAGCTATAAGGTAAATTTAGCTTTTTATAAAATACAAGAGATTATGTTATTTAAGATCTGCCCAAACTCATTTCAATACAGAAAGCATATCCGGCACAAACTGAAGATCTCTTATAAACTAGGAAGTAAAGTAATGTGGCTCTT